GTCAGTGTTAAAACGGTTCGGCAGTGTGAATTGACAACCGACAATTTGGATGCCAGCCAATGCTTCCACCGAAGCGTGTCTTCGTACGTGCTTGTCTGCCTGCTTGTAAGCGAGTTCGTGTACCTGTTGGCTTTCCCCTGGTGACGATGGTGCGGGAGACTGAACCCCCCCGTGTGTAAATTTCGGAATCTCACGGTCGTCGTCAGGGCGGAATGTGATGGTGGTTGATGTGCTGTTCTGCGGTAATAAACAGCGGTCCCCATGTGCGTCTTCAAGGCTTGACTCAATTGTCGTACCCTTAACATGATCCCCACGGCCCGCCCACCCGCCATGGCTCCCTCCTTGCTCAGTGGAAGCAGCTCCAGAGTCCGATCAGGGCGCCATCAAACAAGGCCGAGTCAGGGTTCAAGAGACAGCTCGAGAGCGTCCGCAAGGACTCGGAGTGCTGCTTCGGCGTCGTCAAGGGGCGGTTCAGGATCTGCAAGATGCAGTTCCTCTACAGGAAGAAAGAGAGGATCGACAACATCTTCTTCACGTGCATCATACTGCACAACATGCTTCTCGCCTACGACGGGATCGAGCTCTTGGAGCCGGACTGCGACTGGGCCGGAGCGGACGGCGACCTCGACAAAAACATCGAGCACCCTGTAGTGCGGATGAGTGCGCCCACGCACGAGGATGCAGTCGTGGAGTGTGATGACGGCTTCGACGCATTGAGGCAGAAGTTGGTGACCAACTTCGCTTACCGATGGGGACAGGGGACCGTTGGGTGGAAGAGGTCGTGATGACCCGTGGGAAGTCACATGGTGCTATGTTGATGGCGGGGAGGTAGGGGGGCGGGGGGGCGTGTTGGAGGCGTTGTCCGCCCCTTCGGCTGTAATTAGTGGCACTTTTTTTTCCCCCGTTGAAGACCACGTCCTTCTCCGCCCCTCCGTAGTCAGCATCGTCATCTTTCGTTTTTGGTCCTTGTTGCCAAGTCTTGCCTTTGCCTTTGCCTGGGCCTTGTTGATACTTTGCCGTGTTGTTGTTGTCTCCTCGTCGTATGTGATCTCTTTTTTTATTTCGTATCTGGCCTGTTTTCGATTCCCCTTTCCGCGGCTTGCGCGTCTTGGCACTTAGCATACTACAACTGTCTGTATTCTTGCGTATTGTCATCAGATTTGGCATTTGTGTCTCGGTGTACTTTCCTTTCTCTGTCCATCTTTGCACCTTTTTGCTTGATGGGTGTGGAACAGCCTCTAGTTTAGGCGGAGTTTTCTTCCCTCTTCTGGAGCAGGACTGTCTTTTGTGTGCTTGCTCTTCGCCATTTTTATTATTGTGCCCCGAGGGGTTAGCCCCATCGGGTTTCAGATTGTTTTAGTATCATATCGCGTGAGTATATAATAGTTTTGTTTATTTTCTTTGCGGTTGCGACTGTATCCAAGTGTGACAACAGGCTCCGTTGAGTTTCCTTTGCCTTTTGCGTTGCCTTGTTGGGACCTTGCGTTTGCCGTATTGTTGTTGTCTCCTCGTAATCGTATCTCGATATGTTTTTTTTTTCTTTCGTGTCTGGCCTGTTTTCGCTTCCCTCGTCTACAGGCTTGCGCGTCTTCGCCCTTCGCATGCAACTGTCGGCGGTCTTGCGCATTGGTATCGGTGTCTCGATGGATTTATTTTTCTGGGTCCATCCTTGCACCTTCTTTCAACTAACCCTATTTTTTTTTCTGACGGGTGCGGGAAGCCTCTAGGCTATGTAGCCGGAGTTTCCTTCGCTCTGCTGGCGGAGGACTGTTATATATTGCTTGTTTTTCGCAGCATTATTTTTGTGTCCCGATTAGACTCAGCACGGTTCGGTTTTTGTTAGCATCGCATAACGCGTGCGCACAATAATTTGTTTATTTTTTTTGCGGGGTCGAGTGTACCCAAATGTGTGGCCACAGGCTCCAACGGATGTTTTGGAAAAGAGAGCTACAGCAGTACATGCCACGACACCGAAAAACGAAACGTGCACCTGCACAATTTGTGGTTTAGTGGTCCGGCAGGTAAAAACTTGTCATGCACGTCATGTTGTGTGCAGGGTGGCGAAACACCGGTACTGCTGTGTTGGCCCGTACCTACAACGGTTTTCGTACGCGAAACAAGAGACGGTTGCACCGCCATGAGGGTGCCCCCAGTGACAATCGTATCGCAGGGCCAGGTGCCATCTCTCGTTTGTTTGCATTTTCATCCCATATAGGCCGGCCGCTGAGAAAAATGAGCATGGGCAAAGTCACGCGCAAGAAGTTGTGATTAAGAGTGAAAGATCGGCAGCCTCGCGAAAGAGAGTGTGACAGCAGTGTACACCCATACATGACAAACGAAGCCTCCAACACTCAATTGACCCGCAAGGATCTACCGATTGTTAATTGTGCCCGATAACACACCTGGCAGCCCCCCATCCGAGGTTTGAGAAGTTCGCTAGTCAACATTTCACGCGAATAAATCCACAACCTTTTCCTATGAAGAACACAGCGTCGAAGATAGCTTGTTCTACGCGAAACAGTTACTTACGCGGTCCCCCAAAAAACTATGTCAACCAATGCCGAGTATATTTTCCTTGGTATAAAAACCCTCTCACGAAATGCGGCCATACAGAGGTCCCCGTACCATGACTCTATGGCGTCTCGTCACGCGCAACACCAAGCCAAAGACGGGAATCATCACGCGGATATCCGCTGAACCCCCAAACGAAAATCATCACGCGGATATAATCGATATGGCGATATCAATTCCGCTACATAAATTCCTCCACCCGCCTTTCCTTGTGATTAATCTCAGGAAACATCGACATGGAACGTGGACAAAATGGTTCGTTCGCCAGACCATATCAATGACACCAGTGGGAAAGACTCCATACCTCGCGACTCCCCCGCCCGTGCGACGTGCTCGGGAGTTTCATAGGGATGCTCGAGGGTTGATATTCCACAGGCTAAATATCCAAGCCGAACAAAAAGAAATACCGGAGATACCGTTCCCAGTTGATATTAACGGCTACGGGGATTGAGATTTACAAAGCTGGCGGAAACGGAGCCGGAAGCACCTACGTGGGGACGCCGCGAAAACAAGAAAACAACCCAGAGAAACAACCGCACACGCATACGACTGCTCACATCCGGACCCAGGGCATGGTTCAAGCTCTCCGCCATGTTGGAGTTGACCTGGTCCCGCACGACGTTTCCTCTCGTGGCGTACACCGCCCACTTCTCGCGGGAGGCGGACGCCACCTTCTCGTAGGCCGCTGTGTTGAGGTCCTTGATCTTGTTGAGGTGGAACTCGCAGGTGGCCTTGTCTGGAGCCCTTGCGGCCTGGTAGAAGTGCATACGCCCGCCCTGTGCACAAAAGCACCCGGTGAGAAGAGTAAGTAAGAAACGTGTAGGGGCGTATTTCAATGCGGCGGTGCAATCGACCCTGCTCGACTAACCCGATCCTTGGGGGGGACATTTTTTCCTTCTTTTTTCGTTGACAACGATATCCCCGGGACTATCTCTACGGCAGGGGGGACATCTTAGGGTTAGGGTCACACATACACCCCAGGGACACGATGCCCCGGGGAGATCTACCGACAAAACACACACACCACCCTCATGCACACAAACCTCACCTCAGCAGCTCTATGACGTCTGGTGTACACACACTCTACGAAATGACAATTCAAGATGCACAACAAGTGCTCGGGGGAGCTACGCCCTGCCTCGGGTAGCGGCAACGACACCTCCTCTGACAACCAAGGGAGGGTACACCGGTTAAAGTGCATTCATCCCCAGGGGAGACGTTTCGACGCGCAGGAAAAGCTGTCTCCGGGGGTATCTCCACGGTAAGGGGTACATACATAGAGAACAGGCCTAAAAAGGAAAAAAAAAAACGAAAAAAAAGGGGTCAACAAAAAAGGAGAAAATCCCCCGGAAATTTCATGGTTTTTATGCTCATTTCGGGCAGATTTGGGCGGGGGGGGCAATTCATTGGGGGACATCTCTGAGGATATTACGGTACATCGTCAAGAGCAATGCCGCGCACTAAATCGCCCTGAGCCATTAGACACGCATAGATTGCACACGCCGGGCGACCCCGAACACCCTTCACCAATGTCACCCGAGAGGTATAAAAGACGCGGGGGGGAAACATGATTACCGCAACGAGGTGGCCAGGCAACGAGATATGGATGTGGCTTGCCTACAATCGCATTTCCTTGGTATCAGGGAAGCAGCCGAACACCACACGCCTGAGCTAAACACCACAACCCATGACCTCGCCTCACCGGCCCGACAGCCCCGCAGTTCTTCAACATGTGCTCCGCACACGTAAGGTACTCCGCCTCGTCCAGCCCGTCCGGCACCGCCGACTCCGATCCCTTGTGCTTGTCAGTGATGATGGTCGTGCTCGGCTTCTTCAGAAATGCAGCCACCGTCGGGTTCTTGAGCGCGTTGTCGATGAGGTACCGGTAGGCGTTGCCATTCTCCTTCGCCACGATGCACGTGGCCAGGTGCACGATGGTGTTGTCGGAGCTCTTCGTGGTCATCGCGCCGATCGTCCCGTTCCACTCTCCCTTCATGTGTGCAAAATCCATGCACAACACCTGAATTGTTCGGGGTGCAACACGAGGGCATGGAGAAAACATGGGAAAACATTGACTTGTGTTCGAACGACGCTCCGTGCTGGAGATGGTGGGATGCGAATCGCTCGCAGGCACGCGAGGAGAAAAAGGCATCAGACGTGGCGCAGCAGACGCGAGCTTGTCCCGACGCAGACGCCATACAAAAATGGCAGGGGAAAGGAAGCATGGATGGGTTCATGCGCTGAGATGGAAAGCAAGCACGACGAATACGTTGGGGCCCGCCAGACTGGGAGGCAGACGCACACATACATCCGTGTGCGCGAGACAAAATACAGAGTAGTAGACAAGGGCCCCCCCCCCACCCCCGGCGCGCCAGCACCTTCTCATCTGCGCCCCTCCCGACCCCGTATAGTACTCAACAGCAAGAGTAATGGAAGATGAATGGACCAATTTAATGGTGGGGAGTACACCGAGAGGCAGAGGTGTGCTCCGTAGTACTTCAAGAGGACATGGAAAGAGGGCCATTCAGAAGGACAAGTCAACCACGCTCCAGGCCAACACCCACAACCAAGAAGGGCCAGCAAAGAACAACCGCACCGCACCGCACCCACCTGCTGCACCCCTGCACAAGCGAAGCACGCCACCCCCCCCACCATGAAGAAACAGCGAACAAAGTGGCCTTGTGCATCAAACTCCGAAGAAGGGTATCGGCAGGTATCAACAGACGAAATGGAGAAGAAGGAAGGAAAAACACCACGCGAGGGACAATTGCACGATGTCACCACAGGTTAGAAAACGACAAGTATGTAATGCGCGCAGGCGGATGGCCAATTTATGGCCGTGGGGTCGAAAATAGCATGCCCGCGAAAATAAGTTATTCTGTAATCCCTTCGCGGGCCCCGCGCAATCTTTAGCTTCTAGATATCCGGGGACGGACAACGAGGGCTTACACGAATGACAACACGACAGAACTAAACACTACCCACTCGTCCATTTGGCTCCATTTGTCCTTCCACCTCGGCACCAGCTCGCTACAGCAGTACATGCGCAGCAGAAAACGGGTTAAATTTCAGGAGCTCTGCGGCCGAACTCTTTCTGTTGGCACCGCGTTTTCTCAAGCTCAGCTCACTCCCACTTCGGCACCGAGTCCGACCAACCACGACCGCCTGTCCGCACACGCCAGTCCGCACACGCCAGTTTTGGTTCGCACCTAGGCACAATGCGCCTGCTGCTCTCATGAAAATCAACCCCAAATCAAATCAACAAGGGCCAGTCAAAAATCCCACACCGCACCGACACCAACCACTCCCCTCGCAGTGGACGACCGTGCCCGGGCTGGCCTCTGCAAGCTGGTCCAGGGAGCTCTGGAGTCGTTGGTACCCCTCGTTCTGCGCTTCTTCGCTGACACCGACGACGCTACGCTTGACACGGTTCGCCGTGTGCGGCGTCAGCTCCACCCCGTGGGCTCCCCTCAGCTGCTTCACAAGCCCACCGGCGGTGATCTCGCGGTTGGCGTTCACGACCACCTCGCCTTCCTTGGCCAACGCGGCAACACTTGGCTTCTTGCCACCGGCACACGATGAATGCTCGTACTGTGTTTCGGTGATGTACCAGTGCTTGTCTTTACGCTTGTTGGCACGGATGAGTACCTGGCACCCTCCTGTAGACTGCTGGCCCTTGACGATGACGGCCCCCGAGCAGCGGAAGAGCTTCGCATGGCTGCCACCTTTTCGAAAGTCGGAAACAAGCGTCCGCCCTTGCGACAAGAGAGCCCTCTCGCGGCCAAGCCTCAGCGACCTTGTACAGGCGAAGCTGTCCCCTACCTTCGGCAGCGTCGCCGACAGCGACGGCGCGGCACTACTAGTCTCTGGTGCCGCTTCCGCCGACGACGATGACGACATGTCCGTGTGCCAAGGCCGCGGTACTCACAAGGGAGGAGGGAGGGGAGAGAGCAGTGTGTGGCGCTAGACGGCAAGTCGCGCAGACACACCGACGGACTGACCTGTTGGTCCTAGCGGTGGATATTGTCCGGGTCAACAACTTGCCCCGTACTACTACTGCTGTAGCAGCATGAGAGATGATGTCAGATAGGGCGTTCCGTGTGTGTGTGTTTGCGTGTGCGTGTGCGTGTGTGGAATAACAACCAATAACATGTCCTTACTGCAGGCTGATAGTGCTGAGATGTGTGTTCCGTCGTGAGTGTCTGTGTTTCCCGAGCGTCGATCGTCTGTCGGTGATCGTCGGCAGTTTTTGGTGGGGATCTCGCATCTTGTGTCCCATATCTGCATCGATCTGAGTCTTGCTGGGGTCCGCAGAGCAGTTGCATGGAATGCGCCGATTGCCGTGGGCAAGTTGTCCCGTTTTGACGGCTGGATCTTGCTTGCGGGATCGTGCGGAGATGTGTCGGGGATAGCGGGGATCTTTGCGGGGGTTGCGGAGGGATGGTCGTTTTGCATCTCTCCGCGTTGCTGGTCCATGGGACAAAATGGGGACGTCCAATTGACAAGATCGGGACATGTGTGAACAAAATCGGAACGTATATGATATTTAAGCAGACAACCGGGACGTCCCGGTGGATTCCATGACATAATCGGGACGTCTGAGCAGAGGGTACTTTGGGCGGCCGTAGAAGCGCCGATTTANGGAATTCCCGGGGGTTCGCGGAAAATAATGTCATGGGGTCCCACCGAATTTTCCCCGAATTCCTGTTCCATAACAATTGGCCTTAGGTGGCCTATCGCCAAAAAAGCTGTTTAGGAAGGTACCCAGAGACCATATGCGGTCGGTGGGGGCACTGGAACGTCGTTTTGAGGGTTTTCGGGGGTGTCCGCAAGCAGTTCCCCAAGTTGTAAAAACGACGTCCCGATATGGTCCAAGAAGCCAAAGAAATCTCAAACTTTTGGTTTCCCCCCTCCTCTAGTCCACACTCTCCGGGACACCTCGCCGCAAGCTTTGCTCTCCACGAATATAACAACAAGTGAGTCATCAACAAGGACCTTCAGGGGATTGGCAGCGTTCGACCTTATCTCACTTCTGTATCTGTCCTACACCAAGCACCACACAAAAAAATCAAGAAATCAGTGGACGCACTGGCGTGCAGAGTGCACAGCAGTTGTACTTGCCAAGATCTAGTATACGAGCAGACCTTACCCACCCTCGCAGAGCGGGTGGGCAGCGGGCGCAGTCTGACACACTCTCTCTGCCTTTCCCCCGACTCTCGCTACGTGCCCGTAATAAATCTGACAATGTTACTGTACGTGCATCTCTTGCCGCGTGAACCTCCTGCGTCATTTTGTCATTTTGTTGTATGTTGGATGGGGATCGGGGGGTCGAGGTTCTTCCGACTTTTTTGAACATGCTGGCTTTCTATCGGCGACGCCTGAGCCCGCGCAGCCAGATGTCGCGGGGCTACGAGACTTTGCAGTACCCCACCTCTTTAACCGTAGGAGAAGTTGTGGTCCATTCCATGGAAGGAGGATGCTATGGTAGGGTTGACACGTTTGGCACTGCCTTTGGGACCTCTTTGGCCTCGAACGGTCTTGTTGTGGTCCGCTTGGTCCGACATGCAAGAAGCCTATTTATTACTACAGTAGAATACGGAGCCCTGACCGACACAGAAGAGCTCCTCGTAACCGCATGGAGTCGGGCCACTATTGAAATGTGATGGTAGTTCTTATCGATGTGTTGCTTGGCACCTCTGCAACCCTAGCGCTGCCTTTGCTCACTGCTGTTGATTCGTTGACGTTAGATGGGCCTCTTCGAGGTTTTGTTCGTGTGCCTTCTGGCGGTCATCGCTCCGGCCCAAGAACTACAGGAGTGTACCCTCGACACTGGCTCTCTTACCGTCGGCAGCTCCGAAGACGTGGCTGATCTCATAGGCTTTCTTAATTGTTCGAACGGCGACTTCAGCGTAGAGTGGGTCGGAGACGTCTTCGTTACAGAAACGATCCGCATCACAAGCGGCACATCGCTCAACATCACTGGGGATGGACCAGGCGCCATTGCGGACGGACAGAACATCACACAGCTGTTCTACGTAGACGGGGGTTCAAAGCTACGACTCTCAGACATGACGCTCGCCCACGGGAACGCTTCTGAAGGCGGGGCTATCTATGTAACGCAATCGATAGTCTCGTTCAGCGGAAACATAGTTTTCAGCTCTAACTACGCTGACACAAGCGGAGGTGCCATCTATGCGACTTCTTCTTCGACCGTGTCCTGGGACGGCGACGGCATCAGCTTCAATTCCAACTCCGCTGCCAGTTATGGAGGTGCAATATACGTAAGTTTTTCGACTGTGTCCTGGGATAACGATGGCACTGGATTCAGCTCCAACTCTGCTCCTTTGGGGGGAGGCGCTATTCATTCTTTGTTTTCAAATGTGTCCTGGGAGGGCGACGGAACCCAGTTCAAATCCAACTACGGCTATGAGGGAGGTGCCATCTACGCACATTTGTCGAACGTTTCGTGGGATGGCGACGGCACCCAGTTCACGAACAACCCCGCTGAGAGCTATGGAGGAGCGATCTACGCGTATCTTTCGAACGTTTCGTGGGATGGCGACGACACCCAGTTCATGAACAACTCTGCTACCACTTTCTGGGGAGGCGCAATATATGCGGGGTCTTCGAACGTCTCCTGGGATGGCGACAGGACCCAGTTCAGCTTCAACAATGCTGCCGGGGATGGAGGCGCAATCTACTCTTATGATTCGACGGTATCCTGGGATGGCGCCGGCACCGTGTTCAACTACAACAATGCTACCGGGGATGGAGGTGCAATCTACTCGGATCATGGTTCGAAGCTGTCCTGGGATGGAAGCCCGACCTTCAGCAGCAACGTTGCCGTTGGAAACGGTGGCGCACTAGCTTTCATCGAGTTTGAAAACGAAGCAACCGAATTTACCAACGCGACATTCATCAACAACACCGCAGGAGTCGGAGCGGGGGCGTGGTACTTCGAAAGCTGCGCGAACGCTCTCAGCTTCTCAAGCATCTCATTTCAATCTAACTCGGCTGGTCTAGCTGGCGGTGCGATCGCGGCGTACGTGACTGGAACGGAGTTATACCCTGCAACATTTTCGGGGTGTAAGTTCTTCGACAACAAGGCAAGCGGCGGTACCGGAGGGGCGGTGGAGACCTTGTCTGGCCGTCAGGAGTTTATTTCCTGTGATTTCGAGGGCAACTCAGCATGTAAGTGGAATCAAACAGGATTTGGGACGCCGCTTTTGAGATGGCCGCACGGCAAGTGGAGATAAGATTGGTTGCCAGCAAGTACCCTTGAAATTCCGCATGATGTACATAAGGCGCAGAAGAAAAGACGCATTCGGATTTTTATTGTATTGCTCACGCAGAACAACGCGCACTCGCATTTCTCTCGGCATTAACTGGAGCCCTTACAAACCGCTTGCCAGATGTCGGTGGAGCTATGAGACTCGGCGGTACGGTGGATGTCCGCAACTGTTCCTTCCTCTCCAACTCCGCTACAAGCCGCGGTCTCGCTATTGCTGTGGTCGCATTTGCGAACATAAGCGGTGCGTCGTTCGATAGAAACGAGTTGTACTGCGAAGCTGGCTTGTATCGTGAAGATACTGAGGTGAGAGGGAAGAGGTTGATACGCATCCGCAAACCCGTTCTCGCACAAAAATCCGACAGCAGTTTCACTCGTCACTAACATTTTGCTTGGTACTGAGTTGCTCGTGCGTTTTCTGCATTTTCCCTGTATTTTGGGTGTATCGTGACACATGCCTCTTGACCATTGAACCAGCCTCATACTGCGGCTACGCATGTCTGGACTGCCAATGATAAGCTGAAGCATTATTACGAGTTGTACCTTCAAAACCAGTTGAAAGAATGCTTGTGAAAACCTACACGATTGTGTAGCTCTCGTCACGATAAAATCTCTCTCAGATGAGTCTGTATGTCACGCCTCCCTCTATGAAACCCGGCGAATATTCGGCATTTCTGTTCGTCGTTTCAAACCATAGGGAGAACCCAGTGCGCGTTTTGAAACGGTGTGTCTCGACTGTCCTGAGTGCGACGACTGCCACGTCACAAGGTCTAGCGTCACGCCGGCATGTGAGCTGCCGTTGGAGCACACTACGGCCGTGGAACCTGGTCTCACCTTGGAGACGCTAGACATTCATGGAGGCTATTGGCGCGCAACGAGCGAAAGCGACAAGATCCTAGCGTGCTACAATACGGATGCTTGCACAGGGGGACAAACAGGGGCGGACAGCTTTTGTGCCTCAGGGTACATGGGACCATGTGAGGAGGGGGAGGGTTCATAACCCACGCGCTTGCTTCTGAAGGGTTTTGAAAGGTGAAAGGATCCACCCGCTGGCTTCGACATGATTATTTTCCTTATTTTTCCGTTATTGCTCTCGTGTGCATGTGCTTTCGCCCGTACGCGCGTCTTTGTCTTGCAGATTGCTCCGTGTGCGAAACGGGCTTCGCTCCATCGCTCGCTCATACCTGTACGCGGTGCTCGAGCTCGAGACGCCAGGGACTCTTGGCCGTCGCTGTTATCGCCGCGCTTGTGGCAGTCTTCGCGATTGTAACCATTTTCAAATATTTGCTGTCGACGGAGGTTGATGAGGGGAACGCCGGGTGCTTCCACCGCAGGATACTTCGAGCCGTCCCCGTCCAGACATTGAAGATCATCGTCGTCGTGTGGCAGATTTTGACTCAGGTTTGCTCTTACTGCACAACACGAAGTACAACGCGTGTATGTACGTTAAGAGAGAAAAACTCCGGTGTGTAGTCTACATAGCCGACGAAATGACGGACACAAATATCTTGAAACCATGTGAGTAGAGAAGATAGCGTGCTTGGCGGCCATGTCCCATCCCAACCTTCCGATGCGCGCGCATTCTCTGTGATTTTCCGCGCAGTTCGCAGATGTCGCCAATATTACGTATCCACAAGCGTATCAAGACTTTCTGAGCGCCATCGACGTTGTCAACTTCGACCTCGGTTCCGCACTCGCCGCCGGGTGCTTGTGGCCAGACATCGATTTCCACGATCGGCTTCTTCTCGGCACGCTGGGGCCGTTGGTTGCTGTCGGGTTTCTGGTGATGACGTACCGGGTCGCGGTGCGTAGAAACGGTACAGCTGGCGGCCAAACTCCTGCAGATAATACCCGTCACAAGCACCTGTCGGCCCTCCTTCTCTTGACATTCCTGATATATTCCTCCGTATCGTCAACGGTATTCCAAACTTTTGCTTGCGAGACGCTCGATGACGGCATCGAATACCTCAGGGTCGACTACACTATCCATTGCACGGATGCCAAACACAAGGCCTTTGAAGTGTACGCAGGAATCATGGTCGTTGTGTACCCCGTGGGCATCCCCCTGCTATATGCCATATTGTTGTTTCAACGACGGGACGTGCTTGGCGATGCCCGTGCGGATAAGACCGTAGCTCAGCCAATTGCGGGTCTGTGGGAGCCTTACAGGCCCGAGCGATTCTACTATGAGGTTATCGAGTGCGGACGTCGTATTATGCTGACGGGTGTAGTCGCCTTCATCTTCCCGAACGATGCGGCCCAGATCGCGATTACCATGCTTGTTGCCTTCTTTTTCTCTTTGGTGTTCGAGGTGATGTCGCCGTACACGTCTGAGTCCGACACGTGGCTTTCGCGTGGGGGTCACGTGATAGTATTCCTGAGCATGTTCGACGCCTTGCTCCTGAAAGTGGATGTGTCCAGCGAAAGCGAACAGAGTCAGGATGTATTTGCTGGAGTGTTCGTGGCAGGTCACGTGTTGTTGATTCTTGCCATCGTTGTCGAAGTGGTTGGCATCTGCCTCGCGTCCGGGAAGAAGCGCGGTGTCGAAGAGGCGGTACCATCCGAGGGACTTCCTGTGTTGAGGCCGCGAGGAGGATCGGATGATGTGCCTGTATTTGAGAGCGCTCCGGCGTCGTGGAAGACGTTTGTGGGGCAAGCTTCAGTGTCAGAAAAGCCTGGACCGAGGCGAAGCGCGTCTGGGGCTGTGGTTACGATGGGCGAGTCGTCGTAGAGGTGCTTATTTTCCGATTGATTCTTGGTGTGACTTGTGCGCGGTGAGGGGTAAGTAAGGGTTGTTTTGCGGTGGTTTCTGTACCGACTACGTTAGTCCCGGTTTAAAGCCACAAGTAAGGATGAGCGCAAGGGTTTCCCGAAACTATGAGATAGTGATGGGGTATGAAAGGGCAAAGAAAGAACCACTCTGGCTCTGTTTTATGAAGAAAGGACCATGTAAGAAGTTGAATTGAAGGCATATTTCCACCTGTCAATGGGAAAGGGTAGTTTTTTTCGGCGAATTTTATTCACTCCATGATATACTTTGCTTAAGAATTTCTGGATACTCATCGCGCTCCAGTATGATAGGTCCATCTTCATCTGATATCCGGCTGTAAAACTTATCATGGATTCGCTGATCGCCAGGTGGGACAAAATCTGCATCCATCATCGCAAGTATACGTTTTGTCATACCAAGTTTTCTTTCCCACCGAGGCCATAAGTGCTCTTTCCCGCCAACGTAGTATTTCCCATTGGGATAATATCTCAGCCACTGCAGTACAAGTACGCAGCAGCCGCTCCTCTCGGTGTTCCTCTCGATTGATCAACATCTTTTGATATTGACTAAGGTGGTTGTTGTGAAGTGTACAAAATTTTTCTGACAAAAAAACCAAGGGTGTTATTTTTTTTTTTTCTCCCATCATCGGGTCCTGTCGATTGCCACTCTGGCCCCTAGCCTCCACTTCTACTAGCTAGACGACCCAACCGGGGTCATAGGAGGGGGGGGCTGGACCCCCTCCTGCGGTTCCTGCCTGAGGTATTTTTGTCGCGAGAAGGGTACAAGGATCCCTTCCCTCGCGACTTACGAGGTCGATTATGGTTTATTAACAACGAGCTTTGCAACGCGTCGCTTTCATCCTATTAGACCAGGATTTATTTGGCGAGAAAAAAACTCACTCTGCCGGGACTCGAACCCATGACCTAACCCGTAGCAGGCTGCGAGGTTACCGACTAGACCACCGGGGCGACCGGGTGTGTTTGGTAAGGTACATACCGAGGCGTACCAGCGTTATCATACATACCTCCGGTATACCGGTACCGAGATGTTCGGTACGTTCGATATGGACTTGAATACCTTACCGAAGTGTTCGGTACGTTCGGTACGGACTTCAATACCTTACCAAAGTTTTCGGTACGTTCGTTACAAATACCGAGATGTTCGGTACGTTCGATATGGACTTGAATACCTTACCGAAGTGTTCGGTACGTTCGGTACGGACTTCAATACCTTACCAAAGTTTTCGGTACGTTCGTTACAAATACCGAGATGTTCGGTACGGTGCCGGTATGGACTGCCATACCATACCGGGGATGCTCGGTACGTTCGGAACGGACTTGAATACCTTACCGGAAATACCGATACGTTCGGTACGGGTGTCACGAGTCGCTAGCACGCAGGGTAGAGGTCTCAAGTGTGTGAGCAGTAAGTACGTAACAGCTCCTCCCGTTCACGGCACGGTTTATGGTGCGAGGAAGGGGATTATTGCTCCTGACAGGTGTTCGCTCATGCAACGATGCACACACACTGACCTCTTCTTGTGCAATCGAACGACTGTACCGAGTGCGATGAGTAGTGAAGATACTCGTACCAGCTGTAGTAGCCGATGTAGTGTCGGAGCAAAGGCCTCCTTGTACATGTTATGGTCTTATTCTTTTAGTTCAAGCTCAGGATGGTAGCTTGGTTGTGAGCAGAGGAGGGCGAGTCCAGACAGCTCTTGCAGAGGCTCCGCTGAATGCGGCCAACTACCTCTGTGGGGTTGTACTTGCGGGACAATGAATGCCCCGAACCGTAACATCCCCCCTAGTATATTATCAACTCATAATATACTAACGCCTCATCCGGTACTTACCAACCAGAGGAATGGTAGAACTGCGAGGTTCTCCATCAACCGATATGCCTCGAAAGGGAACTATCCACCCGATACTTCACGCCGCCATCTCGTCTCTCTCTTTTCTCTGAGGGACAAACTTTCGACAAAACCCTCTCGTGAAGTCGTTGGCATGGAGATCGCTCTCCATGCCAGTGGAATAGACCGACATACCGCCACTGGCTATAAGTGTTATCACAATCATGACAGCGATTGCGACCAAGTCCTACAGGACCTACCAAGTCCACGCATGCACGCTTACACACAGTGGACGCACCAATCAAACATCGGTACCGCCTACCGAGTAGGAGCAAAGACATAGGCTCAAAAAAGTGAACCCCATCATCACGACTGAACCTCAAGAAACCTCATCCTCCGATAGCACCGAATTCACCAGAGACACCCAGACTTCACCATCCAAATAACAACACCAGAAAACTGCTTCCCCCCACCATGACATCAACGATGCGAATAAGCATGCGAACGACGGGAAAACTCCTTCCCCCCACCATGACATCAACGCAACAAATGAGTCCTGGGGTGCGACGAAGACGGTCTCCAGTGAAGACAACGTTATAGCTCCTGCCGCGCCATGTCTCCAGTTCTGGTTGCTGCCGCGCACCTGTCAGTAACGGTCTCGACAACTCTTGTCCCTGAAGCTTCAGCCTTCTGCTTTAGTCTCTGGAAGGTGAAACCTAAAGGGAGGCACTCCGAGTTTCACGGGCGGACGACGGCACACGCGGTGGTGCGGCTGGGAAGCTAGTTGCGGGTAGGGCAGATGTCACGCGCAATGTAGGCATCCAATCGCCATTCTACACTAGTTTGGGGAATAGCTTTACACTCCCACATCAAAGAGTCGAAAGATGAATGCACTCGGCGACAACCTGGTGGAGAGGCGAAGATTGCCTGTTCGGTCCATTCTATTGATATGGTTGATGCGAAACCACGCAACAAACGTTTAACGTCGTGGCGGTTCTACGGCTCTCGGCACGAGGAACAAGAGGTCTTGATGGAGCAAGAAGCAAATACTTGATATCTACAGCAAACTGGTTACTTATTAACACGCGACATTTTCTTGGGTACTTCGCTTCGTGTGGCGGTGGCTGTTGTTGCTGATCTTCTCGCACCAAGGCTAAGCTGCTGTTCCTTGTCCAACGAGACTCATCATAACCTCCCCCCCTCGGAAGGCAATAATTCACGGTGTCGGAGAAGTGATATTACGCCGCGGGAGATCCCCCCTTGCTGAAGACATCCAGAGGGTGTTTGCAGCAATATATGGTACTCCCGCGACGTACTTCGAACGTAGGAGAAACTCCCGCCCATGCCATGGCGTGGAGTACCCGATACACTCACAACTACTTGAAAACAACTGGACGATAGCATGCTATTTTTGCAGGATTGAAAACGGGACTACGCGTGCCACATGATTGGACACACACGCGCAGTGCGTGGGAGGGTACTCGAGCAAAGCAAACGGTAAGCAGCGGGCAAGCGCATGGGTTGTGTCAGTACGCTGGTCACACACAATGTGCGCGCTCAATGAATATTCGCTGACAGACACAGCAGACACCGGAAGAAAACGCGAGCGTGAAGTTGGTAGTGTTAAGAAAGTTATGTAGGCGGTTGTGTCAATAAGCTGGTCACACACAATGTGCGCGCTCATGAATATTCGCATAGACACAGACACAGCAGACAACCGAAGAAGCGTGCTAGGGATGTTGTTAGTGCTAAGAGTTGGTTGGTTGATCAAACTGAGCCTGCGCTCTTCAACATTCGTCGGTGTGTGAACCTTGTGCTTGCGAGCATGGGATGGTTGCGAAGCAGCCGAATCGGAAGCGCGAGTGATGGAATAGTTCGTGGGGCATGACGCGCGTGGGAGATTCGACCGGCGTTTCAAACCGACCTCACGGTCTAGCAGCTGCCCCCGCGAGAGATCTCTTTTGGATCTTTGTTGGCACGACAAGCGCTGCTAATGCGTACGGGGCCGTGCCGGATAATCCCCTCGGTCTTCGATAGTGCCTGGGTGGTACGACATGCCTTCAAAAACCCGTGCTCCAGACCGCGGCACCTCCCCCCTTGCGGAAAGCAGTAGTCCGCGGTCCCCGGGAAACTGTGTTGCGACGGTCACGTGATATCCCCCCCACGAAAAATGGCGGGACTGCTGTTGCCATAATAAATAGGACGAAAACACACACACAACACACAAATACAGGTGGCAAGAAAACAAAGAACAAGAACATCACGACGTGAGACGTGCGTTTCCTCCCAAAGCGTCGAAAGGAACACTCAAGGTGTCCAGTGGCTCTGGCCCAAGTCGCAAGAGCGGCTGAATCGGGTTCGGGCCAATGAAGTAATCACGAATTAGTGAAAATGGTAGTCTGATTCTTGGAGTTCATGTACTGTGTGGATTCCATCGAGAATATTGGCCACCATGCATTTGGGGGTCGACATCAGAAGCTTGGGCTTGCAGCTCTCAACTTCGTAACTCAGAACTCCCCTACCATCCACACCGTAGCCTGAGCTGCACCCTTCTCTAGATCCTCCCGAACCTGACCCCAAAGGGTATCCTCCTGCTGGCGTCGAACGAGCAAACCCGGGCCCTTCGGCACGCATAGCGCCCGGTGGACCGCTCGCCGTGGACCCTGTGTCCACTGCCGCGTTTAGGGGCAACTTCCCCCGTGCTGAAAGCACCTCCCCCCCCGTCGACGAACATGGCGCGCTCGGGGTGGGCCGGCTCCGATCGAAAGTAGGAGACCCACAGTAGCGACGTTCGTACGCTCGGCAGCGCCCCGGCCGACGCAAGGCGCACCGGATTCACAAAGCGCAACAGCGCACAACCGGCAGCGACGGCGTACAGACAAAACGCGCTCACAGCGATTAGATAAAGGGAGACAAATACATAAAAATAAAAAAATGATAAATAGGGCCTAGAAGGACGGACGCACTCACCAAGTGTATCGCAAAACTACACAACAACGCGCGGCGGGGCGCACCTACAGGCGCACAGCTAAACGCCAAGAAAATCGAGGGATAAAAGGGAAGCAAACGTAAAAAGGAGTAACAAGATGAACAACAACGCCCTGTGCGCGGCGTACGAGCTGCGCCGTACGCACCCAGCGTACTTCAGAAACGCGTGAAGTGCGACAACGAGTACAGAAGGAAAGTCAACATGCCGCGAAAGGCGCAGAAACTGTAACCGCAGCTTGCAGCGAAAGGTGCAACCGGGTCCGAAGGGAAGTCAACGCAAAGCCACCGACGCACAAGGCGCCACCTGGTCAGAGCCAAATACGGGAGGCAATCCAAGGAGCAAACGGAAGACAGCAGAGCGCCGAGCGGCGCAGAGAACAGCGGAAAGGAAGGTTAACACATCGCGATCGGCGCACAAAACGCAACCGGCTCAGGGCCACAGGGCTCGAAAAAGGCAGAACCGGAAGCAAAAGGTAGAACAGGTACGGGAGAGAGTGAGGACAACAACGAAAGGGCTTACTTGGCAATTTTGGCCTATGAGCGAGAATTGTGTGGCGACACCATTCAGAAGTGCCGCATGTAAATTAAAAAAAATAACGGTAACATTTCGTTACAAACGCAGCTGACAAATGTGCAAAATTGGAAGTCTAAATATCGGTGAGTGAAAATACGTGCAGCGCAACAGGTGACAGCTTAATGCTCTCAATCTGCTCAGGTAGCATTCGCAACATTCACCAACTGGAGGGAGAAACGACGACGGACAAGGGACAAAAAAAAACAACGGAGGGAGTAACGAAGGTCAGGGCAGTAACCAGCCACGGGATACGTGCACAGCAACCGGTTACCTACCGGACACCCCTTCAACTTGGGACCGATCAATAGTAGCACCGAAAAAGGAGAGGTAAACGATTACAGTACAAAAGAAAAAAAAAAAAATAATTCGAAGTACATGAATGTCATTCAAATACATAAATAGTGAAGGAAAAAAGGAATGGACATAGCAAGAAAAACTAATAATGATAAGAAAGGATGGAAAAGGAACAAGAGAAAAAAGGAAAATAAACTATTATAATACTACAAGGAACACAAAAAAAAAGGAAAGGATATAGGAAGAAAAAAACTAATAATAATCAAGGATAGAAAAGAGAAAAAAAAAAGAGAAAAAGACATGAATAAATTACTAAAAGAAGGAAACACAGTGGTGACCACAGTTGGAAAAATATAAAAAATATCACTAAATGATGATGGAAATGATAAATAATAATAATAATAACAGAGAAAAAAAAAAACGAAACGGAGAGTGGCTTCCAATCCGAGAATCGAACTCGGGTTTCCACAGCAAGAACAAGGCGCATGTATCGGAGTTAACCCACGTGGGACAATGTACAACTTTATCGACTCCGCCTGTTTATCGTACAACGCGTGTCAAAAAAAACACGGAGTCTTCAGACGGAGTAATGATAAATGGAACGAGTTAACCTACATGGTACAACATCATCACTCCACCTGATCGTCGTACAACGCGTGTTGAAAAACACAACCCTTATTAAAAAAACACGGCCCGGTCGTCGTACAACGCGTGTTAATAAACACAAACACGCGTGATAAAAAAAACACAGGGTCTTCAGACGGAGCAATGATAGATGTGGTCCATACTAGTATTGTCTAGGAAAGCACGCACGAGCAAACGGGTGTACACGCAAACCACAGCGGACGGACGGCGTACGGGCATCGAGAGCAAACGGGAACACCTGGCCTGGGAGACTGCGACACACAACACAACTTCTGGCTGCCCCTTCTTTCCATGCGATCACGCTCAGTCTCTTTTCGCTCTTTTCATCAATCATTGGCTTTTTCGAGTAGGCGGCAACGGTAAAGACGGGTGAGGCGAGCAGTGTGTGTGTTCGAGTACTTCCCACCTATGGCCGTCCCATGGAGAAAGCGTACAGCTGGGGCCGAATTAGAATCACAAGCGGGCATCCCGGGAACTTTCACCCCGGTGATGCGCAATCAATGCGTGCAATTGAGCGTATGTAGAGGAACCGGCAAGGTGACGCGCCATTTTATGTAATGCCAGCCCGCCAAAATCGTTGGTATGGCCTAAACGAACACTGGGACACAGCAGCGTACACTCACAAGCGAATGCTTGATCACACGCCGAGAAACACATCGAGCGCGAGCTTACACGCAGGGAAGCATGGCTCTCTTTGTGCAATGGATTGTGACAACAGGAATTTCATGGATCGGCCACAGCGGCCGTGGTTTTGTAAGGGACACAGCGAAGCAGCCGAGCGGCAAAGGGATACAAGCATGTAACAACATAACTCACACGCGCTCGAGCGCGTGCTCACGGATTGTACACCATGTCACGAGTCGCTAGCACGCAGGGTAGAGGTCTCAAGTGTGTGAGCAGTAAGTACGTAACAGCTCCCGTTCACGGCACGGTTTATGGTGCGAGGAAGGGGATTATTGCTCCTGACAGGTGTTCGCTCATGCAACGATGCACACACACTGACCTCTTCTTGTGCAATCGAACGACTGTGCCGAGTGCGATGAGTAGTGAAGATACTCGTACCAGCTGTAGTAGCCGATGTAGTGTCGGAGCAAAGGCCTCCTTGTAGATGTTATGGTCTTATTCTTTTAGTTCAAGCTCAGGATGGTAGCTTGGTTGTGAGCAGAGGAGGGCGAGTCCAGACAGCGCTTGCAGAGGCTCCGCTGAATGCGGCCAACTACCTCTGTGGGGTTGTACTTGCGGGACAATGAATGCCCCGAACCGTAACACGGGCTTCAATACCTTCCCGAAGTGTTTGGTGCGTTCGGTACGATGTAAATACCGGTACCGGTGCGATACCGGTACCGAGCGTACCGGCATCGGGCTAATCGGGAAGTTAGGCATGACATTCACCCGATACCGCCACACACACGCACCGCACCACCAGCAGACCAGCAGCACAGCAGTGTGCCGGCGTACCCTACTCAATCGGTACAGCAGCTGGTGGTGCGCATCAGCACCCGCCGCCCTCATGAGCAACATCCCCCCCCCCTCCAACAACAAGAACGATGACCCCGTGTTGTGGGATTCACGCGTAGCAATCCCTGACGACCCTGTGGAAGACTCACTTCTTTATTAATCTGGCACGACCTCCTTCCGGACGTGCAAGCGTTCTTCTCCTCTTCAGCGGTTGAGGCTTCCACCTGCGCTGCGGTGGACCGCGTCCGGGCCGAGCGCTTGCCCCGCGCTCGCCAGCTGGAGGACGAGGAAGACCAAAAGGAGGAAGCGGGCAGTCGGAGCGCCCTCGCCCACATGGAGGATGCCGGCCTACTCACGGTTGCGGGCTGCCTGCGAAGACAGCGACGCCCGCTTGGCCTGGAGTGCCGCGATTTCATCCTCCGTGGCCTTGAGAGCGGTGGCCATGTTTAGGCCGGCATCCTCCATGTGGGCGAGGGCGCTCCGACTGCCCACTTCCTCCTTTTGGTCTTCCTCGTCCTCCAGCTGGCGAGCGCGGGCCAAGCGCTCGGCCCGGACGCGGTCCACCGCAGCGCAGGTGGCAGCCTCAACCGCTGAAGAGGACAAGAACGCTTGCACGTCCGGAAGGACGTCGTGCCAGCGGTCGCCGAGAGTACCGAAGAGAGCCGGGCACTCGACAGAAGGCGCCACAGCAGACGAAGGAGCCGTGGTAGCGGACGGTGCAGTAGCAGCAGCAGCAGAACCCTTAGCAGCAGCTCTAGTAGCAGAAGCAGCAGCGGCAGAAGCAGAAGTGGTCATGACGACGGGTGCTGCTGGGCGCTCGGCCCGGCGACGACTCTCGGCCGCCGTGGTGGCCTCTCGTAAAGCCGGCGAAGACAGCGCCGTCGACGCCGAATCCTCCGCCGAAGCATGGCGAGGAGGGGGCGAGGAGTCGGAGGAAGCGGTGGGGGCTGCCATGGCGCTGATGGTCCGGAGAAGTTCCTCGTTGCGGGCTTCCGCGAGGCGTACTCGTTCCAGGGCAGCAGCAGTGGCTGCACTTTCATGGGCAGAAGAAAGCATGGGAGGCGGGGCAGGCACATTGTTTGCATAAGCTACAGCAGTGCGTGCATTGCGAGCCTGGTGACGCTTATCACGAGCATGCGCCTGCTCTCGGTTACTCTTAGAGGTATGATATAACTCTGAGAAGCGGGCACGCGGGCGGCGGGCAGATTAACATCAGTATGCATCAACCGAGCGCCCGTGCTACTTCCCCGAACAGGAATCAGCGATTGTGCTAAAGGGTTAATAGCAGGCGTATCGACACGTACACCTCGAGAGGTGTTGGTGGTCCTTGGCGCTACTGAATGCGCATTAGTGCGAGCACAGCCACTAAGGTCAGAAGATACATGGGACCCACTAGAATGCGAAGCAGGTGCAACTGCGGATGCGGGGGGGTGTTGTACAACGTCAGAAAACGTGACAGTCCCGTTCAGCAACAGACGGGACGGAAGACACATCACGCGAAGCTAGTGTCGGTCCTTTTGCGACTGAACGCACATCGGACGTTCCTAATGTGGCTGAACACACATCGGAGGAGCTAGTGTCGGTCCTTTTGCGACTGAACGCACATCGGACGTTCCTAATGTGGCTGAACACACATCGGAGGGTTGGGGAAGAGCTCCTATTGCGACTGAACGCACATCAGAGAGGTGGTGATGGATAATTCGGGTGACCCAGTTCTATGTGCTTGGAGTTTAGAGCGGGTGGCCCATGATCGTCTCTAAATCCGCCTAGCTAGATATCCTACCATTACCAAGATGTATGCAATCCTAAGACAAGTTATTCCGTTCATCCACCAAAATTTCGTCCGCAGGTAAAACGCGAAGAAGTAATATCTCCCTGAAATACTCAAAATATATCATTAATGTTCGGTGAAGAAATGTCAGCAACGCCATTT